AAGAATCAGCATTTATATACCTTGATTGGTTCAGGCCTCCAAGTGCTATAGAAACCAGCCCTACTGAAGGGATTTTGACGAAAAATGCCTCAGAGCAGCAGATGAGTAAAGTCGGGCACGTCCTCCAAAATGAGGAATGGAAGAGAGGGCTTGTTCTTCGGAAACGGCGAAGAGAGCAGAGTAATAAAGAAAAAAATCAGGGAGGAATGAAGGAAGCGAAAGCTAAGGGACATCCAGTCCTACGTGAAAAGGAAGAAGGAGCTATACATGTACCAGCCTATTTGGCTGACTCAAGTCAGCTTGTTCAAATCAATCCGTCAGACAGAATTGGAGTAGTGAAGCAAATCGTAGGTGAAACCCTTGAGACACTCACCAGTGAGACAATTCTCATGATAACAGAAGTTCAGGCTGTGGATGCAGGCGACTATGAGTGTCGGCTTTACAAGCCAACTAAATTCACATCAAATAGACTGGACGCCTCTCGAGTTTCATCCAAGGTATTTAAGAAGGAAGAGTGCCTATTTTGCAATGAAAGAATGATTAAGGTCGCAGGTGATAACGGTGAGGGAACTAGGCAAGGCATATCAATTATACGAGCAAGTGGAGACAATGAGGAAGGCTGGTGGGGTAGAAAGATCTTCGAGAAGAAATTGGAGGATGAAATCATTGACAGAGCCTTTATTCGCATAAAAGGTGAGTCAATCTCCCATAAAACGAGATTTTGACGACGAAAGGTGAGAAAGATTTTAATCACTTTAGATTCATTCCTCATTTAGGAAGAGTTCATCATAAATCCAAAGTAAACTATGATCAGCCCTTATTCAAGATCCACTGGCCGTTAAAAAAACTACAAATTCAGAATAGCCTTAAAAAGGAGGATTAAATGATATAATAACATGACTCTTGCTTGATTCATCTCATTGTTTACGCTTATTTACTGTAGGTCCTATTAAAGCAATTGTCCAACAATAAAATGTGAATATGTGGAGTGGATTCACCTTATTTCGTTTAAGGTGATGGGGGGACTAGTAGTTGAATTTTCCTAAAATGATATGAGTAGATATTACATTTTTCATAGAATTTTACATAACTCTGCTTTCACAAAAGGTATTCTCAACTAGTGTTGACTTCAGGTTTGACCTCGCCTGGGTCTTTTCAATATCCCCAGCGGACCTAGAAACATGACAGTGCAGTTAATAATCTCGACATGTTAATTACTACACAACATTGCCACGAGTTCCCTTCGGTGGATGTAGATTTCAGGGAATACTAATGATCTACTTATAGCCTCAAAAACTTACTTATAAACGAAACAATAAAACGTGTTTCCGTTAGAGTAAACTTCGAAATATCCTAATTATTTTTATCATATGTGGGCACTATTGGATACATTCTGGACTCATGGTTTCCCCTGAGAAAATGTTGAAAGGTTGTTAGGGAAGAACTCATGATGGCTTAATTGTTTCCCAATAATATGTTCTGTTTAAGATCGCCTGTCAAAGGAATCCTAGCGCCTCATCCAGACTACAATAAGTCTTCTGTAGGGTTTTTTTCGTTCATAAGTAGCGTTTCGAGACTATTAATAAATCAGTTATATGGGATGTATTCACACTATTTCGCTTAACATGATAAATGACTGGTAAAGGAATGTTCCCACAATATCATGAATAGAGCTGACGTTTACATTGAATTTCATATTGCATTGCTTTCCCAAAAGGTGCTTACATCCAGGGTGGACTGCAGTTTCGTCCTCGCCTAGGTCATATCAGCTTATGAATAAAAAATATGTATAGAAGTTGTTTGACCTTGTTTTCGCAACTTGGTCATAA